GGACAAGGATTTCGAGCAGGTGAGTTTCAGTGGTCAGGCCTATAATTTAACAGCTCTCTAGCGGCTGAGTGCAACATGGATTTGAGGAGGACAATGTTGGAAAAAGGAGGATTGGTTTATAAGTCACTGTGATAGTTCAGCCAGAGAGGATAGAGACCCTGAATGAAGGTGAGGGCAATAGGGAAAGAGCGAAGGTCGAAGATTCAAGAAATACCATCCTTCGTCTAGTCAAGGAAGGACCTTTGATGTTTTTCTGATACCATAATATGTACAGTTAATGTGATGGTGTTGATTCCTGTGTTTTGTTCAAAAGTGATGAGCCAACCGTGCACCTTCCAATCCAATCTTATAACGGTGCCTCTTACAATGGAGGGAGTCGGGAGGTGACTCAACAGGGCTCTTGACTGGTTGGATGTGGATGGTAAGCGAGGAGTGGGGTGCAGGAATCAAGGATACTTAAGATCACTTCCAGATTCCTGGCTTGGGTGAAAAAGATCACTCATTCAATTCATAGATGTCTGAACATGCTGTTCTGGAACGCCCTTCTCCTTTTCCTTTCCTCACCAGAACTTCAAAATCACTTCATGTGCCCTTCTCACATGTCACTTATATCCTTACCAGGCATAGAAATTACTAGGGCACGTGGTCCTATACTGGAATGGAGAAGACTTTTCTTAAGGGAAAAGACCCTTATATTTCCTTATATTTGCATTTCCCACATGCCTTGTATATAGGGAGCACACTGCAAGTTTCTGATGAATGAATAAATGAATAAAGGGAACAGATGACTACATAAATGTGGTGCCCCCACCACCCTCTTCATCACTTCCATCACCACACCCATCACTGGACAATCTAGGTAAAGGGGGACTGACTCAGTGCAAAGCCTACTCCTGGAACAACTTGAGATTTATGGCTTGGATAAAGAGCAGAGGCTCAGGAAGATCATCTCCACATACAGACGCTCTTTCTCATTTTCCTACAGGTGAAGACTACCTATAAAACTGGGCCTGCTCCCTCTTCCAAGCGCATTTATCAACCCAACTCTGAATGGATATCCTTCTTCCAATGTCAACCCAACAAGTGACCCAGACCCCCCAAGGGGGCATCCCCCTATCTGAGCATTTTTCCCACCCACAAATGAGATCTCTCTTCCCAACTCACCCAGTGTTAGTTATACCTTCATTCTCCTTAGAGAGACATTGACTTCGGCCACTGCTTTGACCGAGAAAGGCAAGACTGCAATTGAAAACTTCATTACGTTAAACATGGTAATCACACTAAATGCCTGAAGAAAAAAAGAGAGAGGTGAGGGTTTAGGATGGGAGGCTGCCTTGGCTCTAAACCATTATATCCATGGTGGTAAACTTCACTGAGATGAGAAACGGTGGCACAGTCGGGATTCACAAAGGAACAATTTTTTCATTTCATGGCTCAGAAACCACAGGCTGGCACATTAGGGACAGCAGCATCTTAATCTATTCTGCTTTTGGATTTTCACCAAAATGGTGGGAAATATATCCTCTTATCTCTGTTGATCCAGAAGGGAGAAGGTCTGAGGCAGATCCTCAACTAAACACATTTGAAAACCTCCGTCTGTACCACATCCTTATTGGAACCTAGACCATTCACTCACAACCCTATACTGATTTTCCTAGCTCATTCCCTGCTCTCAGTTCCTTGGAGGCATCTGACCCCTTAGAGCTAAAGCATCTTCCTCTACACCACAGCCAACCCCAGCGACGAAGGCAGAAGTTTCCCTGGAAGGTCCTGCTTGCCTCTGCTAGCTGCTGGAGAGCAACCTCTGGTTCTCCTACTCCCGGGACCTGGACTCCATGCCCTGCCTCCCCACACACCACGGCCAGATCTGAGAACCTTTATTCACCTGCAGTTTCCCCCCGCAAAATCACCTCCTCTCTTCACTGGGGCCTTTCCCATTGAGCCCTGCCTAGTGCGTAGTTAATATCGTATAGTCTCGGTGAAGACACGTTCCTCCCTTCTGTTGGCACCCCAGGGATACTTGATCTCACCCCTCAGACTTCATCTCTCATCTGACTTGTAATTAGCAGCCTCTCCCTATAGCCACCCATTGAAGAAATTAATAACACCATTTCTTTCAACAATCCTGAGCGATCCTGCCTGCTGTTGAATGGGCCCCATGGTCAGGGCCCTAGGCTTCAACTAATCCTAGTTACTT